GAGCTGAGGAGGGCAATATTTATATATAGAAGGTGCACAGTGTCGTTCACACAAACACTAAACCCCATCATGGTGACACACATGATACTGAAATAATGCAATAAACATTAATTTAACAACATTAGATGTAAGATTAAACCCTAGGGTACACAACTGATAAGAAAAACTAAGAGACATGTTATTTCAACAAAAAAACATCAACTATGAAGTGTCATGCTGGGAATTCTGGGAGTGTCAATTTACAGTTTTTCTCTGTAAATTATACAATGGCTTTTTCTTTTTCACTTCCAAAAACCGTATTTTTAACAGTATTTTACTGTAAAATTACATTAAATGTAATTACATTTATTCACCGAATATAGTATGGAAACTTACTGTTAACCAGTTAACAGGTTTTTACTGTAGCATTTTTACAGTCTTTTACTGTTAAAATCACAATCATTTTTTACAGTGTACCTTTAAGGCCAAAGCATACTTCAGTTTTACGCATACGCGATGGTCTGCGTACAGTGCGCATGATGCAAATTTCATCACCAAAACATTACACACGTACTGTACGTGCACCATCCGATTTTTGTAACCACACATACTTTGTACGTGCAGGTCACACACGCATTGACTTGGTTTTGCACTAATCAGTTGTTCCACAAGGTGGCAGCACTGCCCCGGGCCGTTGTTTCACAGTAGAAAATGAAACTAAAGAGACAGAACAACAACAACAAATCAGCGGAGACTGCTGCAGCACTTGTGTGAGGGGGTTATGACAGAGTCACTACTTTAGTTTAGAAGAGTAAAAAAACATTTTCATTGGTTTTAAATTCTGAAGAAAAATACAGCAGATGCTGGACAAATATGAAGCTTTCTAGAGCGCATGTGTCAACCGCCTGCATCCGTGCACGCTATCAAATGTAATATACTGTACGAAAACTACAAAAACAAAGTATACTTTGGGCTTTAGTGACACAACAACTTGTCACTGGGGCAGTACATTTAAATGGCTGTCCCTTTAAGGGTACAAATGCCAAACTGTTGTACCCCAAAATGTAAAATTTTTGCCCATTTTTTTAAGAGTGTTAATATTAGCAGTGAAGCAGTTACTATTTGAAATATTTGAAAACATTTGTTTACCAAATCAAAGTCATTCAATGCAATTTGACAGAAATCAGACTTACTATTGGACAGATACTAATTCAACCAGCAATCCATATTGAGGTGGAGACATCCCAAATAATAGGATATACTGCAATATTTACTTGGTTACACTACATTACATTTTTCAGTCAATAAATGTGAGCTTTTCCTGAAAATGGTTTAAAAGTGATTCAAAACCATATGAAACCAACATCAGTACAAGCATACTGCTAAGAACTTGCTTACTAGACACTTACTTGTCTGTGACACTTTTTTTTTTTTTTTTTCAGTTGTACTTCGTCCAGACAGATGTCCAGTAAGAAGTGGTTCCTGATTTTTCTCCTGGTTCCAGGAACTGCTTTACTACTGTATCTTTCTTATACCCCTATGACAAAAGGGCAAGAGGAGAAAAAATCACAAAGGTACCCTCCTGCAAAACAACAAAGCACAGCAGCACCAAGGAAGGATCCTGTAAAAGAAGAACCAGAAATGGACACTGTCCAAGAAGAACCAGGGTTGTACCATGTGGCTTATCCCCGAAAATACAGATTTATCATTGACCAGCCAAAGATATGTGAACAGCAAAAACCCTTCGTGGTGGTTATGGTCCCTGTGCCTCCTGGCGACGCTGAAGCGCGCAGTGGCATCAGGAGGACGTGGGGTGGAGAAAAGGTTGTTGGGGACAAAGTGGTTGTGGTGCTGTTTATTATGGGCTTACACAGTGGAAACGATGAAGAAACATTGCAGGAGCAACTCCGGAATGAGAGCCAGCAGTACAAAGACCTTCTCCAGAGCAACTTCCTGGATTCCTATAAGAATCTGACCATTAAAACCATGATGATGATGGAATGGCTCAGCAGGAATTGTCAACAGGCGTCCTTTGCTGTGAAAGTGGACGCTGACGTGCTCCTTAACATGAACAATCTAATAAATATGCTTGTGAGTCTGAACCCAGTACCAGCCAACTATATGACCGGGCTAGTGTGGTACGCAAGCCCTGTCATTCGAAATCCGTTCAACAAGTTTTTCCTTCCCTACGGTGTGTACCCCAGAAACGCATATCCGCCGTATCCTCTAGGCATGTGTTACATCATTTCTTTGGACCTGCCACAGAAATTTATACAGGAATCGAAGCACATTAAACCCATATATATAGAGGATGCATATCTTGGCATGTGTTTGGAGAATTTGGGTATCGTCCCAACCAAACCGCCAAATATAGAACAGTTTGTGGTGACACCACCGCAGTACAATCGCTGTTACTATTCTGGATTGATAGCTATACTTACGGACAACACAAATCGGATGACGTCCTTTTGGATAGATATTCATTCAACCAGCAATCCATGCTGAGGTGGAAACATCCCAAATAGGATATACTGCAATATTATGTGTCTGAATTTTCTTGTGCTTGTGCGTGTGTGTTTGAGCATTTTATTTGTTTCAAGTGAAACCATGCATCATGCAGTATCCAACTCAGGAACAAAGACACAAGTATTACATGTAAAAACATGTATTTTTTATGATTATTTAAAGTTCAAGACATGTCAAAGAATAAGAATTCATCAAGGGAAAAACAATGGAACCGTTATTACACAGTTTTCTGAATTGAATAATTAAATAATAATTTGCTTGTTGATGTGTTCTCGTCTTTACCAAACAAAATGGCACATTGTTCTGTTTGAGAACTGGACACTTACTGTTATAAGGTTTTCTTGCATAAGGAAAGAAGTGTATTTCAACTGAAACCTAAACTTACACACACTCACGCAGAGGCGTTACCTCCAAGGAGGCAAGGGAGGCAGTGCCTCCTCAAAATATTGGATGAGAAAAAAATTTTTTAGTACAAAAATAAAACAACCAATATTACAAAATATAACATTTAAAAAGTGTATAAATCACTCGTTTTTCTAAAGAAACATTGTCCAACAGCAACACCAGCAGGTAAAGTTACAGCGGGAGTCCACGTCTCTCTCGCCTCCCCTGAGCCCATTGAGTTTTAACAGACCCCCTAAAGCATGCGGTGATTTTGGTGGGGGTAATTGGCTAGATGCACAAGATGGCGTCGGTGAGTTTCAGCGTTTTCAGAGTGTGGGAATGCTTACTTCCGGTCTTTGTGGCGTTTGCATTTACTGTAAGGGGAAAGTTTCATACAAAACTTGGATAGATAGATATAATTCATGTTTTTCAAATTAAATAGCGGATAGTAGTATATCAAAGACAAGAGAAAACATCCTCCATTAATGGGAAGACTAATTTAAAAAAGTAAGTAAACAACTTACACCTTAGATATAACCACTTTGTTATGTCAAAATAAGACTTAAAATGGAATGACGTGCCCCCCACCCCCCATTTTTTTCGGCCAAGTTTGTTCACGTAGAGTTTTTCAAGGGCCAGTGTGAATAAATCTCATGCAGTGTATGTTTCATTCATATTCAAAGCTGGAGGGCGCTCTCGTGCAGAAATTCCAAAATGGCCTCATAGAAGTAATAACTTATGACATGCCAGGAAAGCCCTAATATGGACAAAGGCATCCAGCTATCCTGTAGCTGAGCTGAATAAAAACGTTTTGACTGATGAAACGTGAAGACAATAAACACACGATTGTGACAATATATGGTTTATATGTGTTTTTCCAAGTCATCTCCAGGTAATAAATAAAGTACACTGAACAAAATTATAAACGCAACACTTTTGTTTATGCCCCCATTTTTCATGAGCTGAACTCAAAGATCTAAGACTTTTTCTATGTACACAAAAGGCCTATTTCTCTCAAATAGTGTTCACAAATCTGTCTAAATCTGTGTTAGTGAGCACTTCTCCTTTGCCGAGATAATCCATCCACCTCACAGGTGTGGCATACCAAGATGCTGATTAGACAGCATGATCATTGCACAGGTGTGCCTTAGGCTGGCCACAATAAAAGGCCACTATAAAATGTGCAGTTTTATCACAGCACAATGCCACAGATGTGTATGTTGCACATTTTAGAGTGGCCTTTTATTGTGGCCAGC